TTGGCTCGAGCCGAACGAGTTTACACGGCCATTTTTGCTGGCTCGAGCCATTGGGCTCTGATAAAATGCTGTCGTATGAACGTAGCAATAGTCAAGACTGAAGTACATTTCATTTATATTAAGTACGAATAAATATAGACTTGGCATTTCAGTGTAATTATGTACAAATTAATCACCAACAAAGAGTAAGCAATATTTCAGATTATAAAATAGTTAATGATAATGAAAAAATAAAGCAATAACTGATGAATAGTTTTCAGATTCAGTGTCATCCTCTGGTTGCCTGACTGCTACCGATAACTGATGGAATCTTTACAATCTCTGCTCTCTGTGTCATCACCAGAAAGCTTAAATTAGTGTTGGGAATTAATTATAAATGTTATGATAAAAAAACGATCTAGGCATCTCTTAAAGAGGGCAAAAAAAATCCAGATTGAGATGTGTTTAAAACCACATGATAAAATCTTCATAACACATCAACTTTTGACGCTGTTTTTTTTCTATTCATATCAGCTATATGTGGAGGTTTTCAGCAGGCAATGTAAAATGATATTCCCAACTGTACACCTTGTCATTACAAGCATAAGAGTTAAACAATAACTGATTAAATCATTCATCTCACTTTTTGGACCTGTTTCTGTTTTTATCTGTTTCATCAACATCACAACAGGCACATCTCAAGAACAATAAAGAACACCACTATAAAGTAAACAACCCCCTCACCCTTTCTAATTTTTATATTGCTCGATCAAGATGCAAGATTTCAACAAACTTTGTAATCCTGTCATTTGACAGTAGTGCTATTAATTAATCCACTCTTATAAGGTATGCAGTAAATACTGATAAAATAGCAATCAATATTGCAAACGTGACATATCTGCCATACTTCATCCACCATGTAACTACTTCCTCCTTCTCTCGCTTTCTCTTTCTCTGTTTCTTTCTTCCTTTCATATGACGTTCATATTCAGCAAGCTCCGCCTGTAAATTAAGATAGAGGGTGAAATGGCCGAGTGAATTAGAACACCATTTGCTGTATTAGAAATGCATCTTCAGTAGAGATTTGGTGGGATTGTAAATGAATCGAGCCTTCAATGCTCACTATCAGTGAACACCACAAATTATCAACACAGAGAGCTACCCAATTATGATGTCATCAGTGAACACAAAGTGTTAACACAGAGGGTGCTGCCCAATTATGATGCTATCAGTGAACAACAGTGTCAAAGGAGAGGCCCTGCCCAATTATGATGTCATCTGTAACAACACATAGTGTCAACTTAGAGGGCACTGCTCAATTATGATTTCATCAGTGAACAACAAAGTGTCAGCAGAGAGGGCGCTGCTCAATTATGATGTCGACAGTGAACAACTAGTGATAACTGACTTCATCTCAGTATTTAAGTATTCTCAAAATATCCCCAGTAGTCATGAGTAGTGGTAACTACATAATAAACCCACTACAATACTGTACAAGTATTAAACTTCACAGTCCCTAGACCATGGTACATCAAATCACATTGTGCCCCATGCAATGTATACATCTCATGTAAAATACAATTGAAGTTCAAACAAAAGCTGCACGATTGCTGTAACACTATAAACCAATTTGCACAAACCTGTTGTTTCTTCAGTTCTTCTTCTTTCCTGGCTTCCTCAGCTTCTTTCGCTGCTTTCTTTTTCTTCTCCAGTTCTTCTTGGCAAATGTCATCACATTCTAGTTCTGCCTCACCACTCTGTACCATTTTACATGGGAAATCCTGCAAAATGATGTATTAGGTGTTTAATTCATTTTACAATTTGGGTTTATAATTAGTGTAAAGCTCTTTTCTAAAAACAGGTGACAGAAATAACAGTTGCCAATGGCCTGCAGTTAGCTGTACCGGTAGATGAAGACTGACAGCATACAGTGAATCGATGTCACCCCCATATGAGAACTTAATTTTCACTCAGAGTTAATATATGAGCCATAAATGTTCATAACTTTGCATTAGAAGTAATAATAATCCCTCAAATTGAATCCTCTAGAGTAGCTGATTTTTAATTTTTTTTTTTTTAATTTTTACATACAACTCATCATGTTTTCATATATTTTATTGCATTTTACTTTTTTTTTTTATTTGCTAGAACATGTTTTTAAGATTTGGTAATTGTTCTCCATAACATTTTTGTAGTATACATTTAATTCTAATTATCTTTTTATTTTAATCTATTATTTTTTGGCTGGTACATATTTTTAAGTTTTTGTAATTATGAAAGCCCACAAGGTATGTAGCGATAGTTAGAAAATACATAGTCAAGAAAAAATGCAGTTAAGTACAATAGTAACATAAAACTACCCGGTATGACAAATACACAATTTTCTGTAATCTTTCTGAATAGTTGATACTGAACACATTCAAAAGCTCAAAAATGTACAAAACTAAAAAAAAAAACATAATTAAAAATGGAAATATTTTATTCCCTCAAGCAAATTTTACATCTTACCTTTTTCTTTCGTTGACATGGACACCTGACCATAGTCTTCTTGGTACACATATCAGTGCTGGAACAATCACCAGAATGGCATACCTTAGAACAGGTATGGCCGCATGCTAGTACCTGGTGACACTGGCCCTGACAACATAGTAACGTCTGATGGCTCTCTTCATCACCCTGAGTCCATTTCCTGGAAGTAGTATAGCAGTGAGTACATGATATGGGAGATGGTCACCATAGAAACTCTAATATCTCTTGTCTTTCAAAATGCTCAGTGTTATGTATGAATTCCATCATGTGTTGCATTAGTGTTTTAAGTATGGTCATCACTACCAAATAATGAAAAACAATCAACAAATCTGCACACCCAATTATTATAAATTATTAACTAATAAATGAATTTATCAGATATACTATGCAAACAAAGCCGTGTGTCATCTCGCACTTTTTAATTGATAAGTTGATTAATTAAGTTGATTGGTTCTTGTACAATTTGAAACTGTTTAGACAATATATTTTGGTAATAATTGTTTGAAATATGGTAAATATGAATGTTTCCACTATATACTGTAGCTTCAGATATTTTTGCTTTAATGTTGGATGTGTAGACTTTACCATCTCTAAAGCTTTCAAACCAATCTTTGCAACACACAGAATTCATTTCCACCATTGAAGCAGTTGCCGAAAATGAAATGTGTGCAGACCTTTGATAGAATTACCTCACACTTGTCTGATAAGACATATATCATATATATATATATTGCTATAACCATAAATATATTTTTTTTAATTTTTTTTTTTTATTAACTCATAACAATCTACTGAACGAGGTTACAACAACAACAAAAATTACAGAAAAAAAATTAATCAAATTACAATGGCTAATAGTTTAAAGACAACCAAAAACAGACTTAATTGAAGTTAGTAACGGAAATATATAATAAAGTAAAATGAAACACCAACAAAAAACTATAAACTGAATATAAAAACAAAAACCCAATGAATAGAACCCAATTTAATGCTTTTGATTCAGTGAAGTTCTTGCATATCCAAAAGAATTGCACATGATAAGAAGCTTAGAACCTATACACACACAAATTAAAATTATAATGATGTTACTATGGTAGTTTATATTGAAGAAATAGGATATCTAATTCATGATCGATGATAATAGATTTATTAAACTTTTGTCATAATTTTCATACGTCCCATGCCAAAGGCACAGGACATATGATAATTATTACACTTATTTAATTTTTTATTTTTTTATTTTATTTAGCCAGTATTTAATAGGATTGAAAATGCATATTACCCACTCATACTAATATTTCTGGTAAACAGGTCGAACCCAAATACAGATTCAGAAATAGAGGGACTCAAGCATACACAAGCATTGAGAGAAATACCGTCAGTTGTCTTGCAGAAACCACTACTCTTTGCAACATAACTACGTCTTTTCAGAGAGGCGTAAAGCCGTCAGTCTCATGCACAGTTCCTATTCTCAGTGCTCAGTGTAGGGAACTGACAACTTTACGTCTCTCCCAAAAGATTCTCCAAAATAAGAATGCTGCAAGTCTGGTGAGTGGAGAGAATGTACTTTTTTGTATTACTGAGTGTGAAGCCAATCATGAGAGTCACACAACTGATGATGGGTGTGTATGCTAAACATTGTGCCACACATCAGAACTAATTATGTAAGTCACCTATTAGATATCTTTAGCTACTGGATAATTACCTCTAAATGCACAAAATATATTAATTATGTAATTATGGATAGGAGCAAAATGACCAGAGACAAAGTGTCAACGGTAGAATCAATAAGCTAGATAAATGTTAGAAAAGAGTCTATATTGTAGTTTGGTCATTATAAATTAATCACAAAATCCAAACTCCATAATTTTAATAGTGCTATACATACCAGCAATCAATGTATAACAACATAACTCTGCAGTGACATCTTTTTTTAAACATCTGAGTACACTGTTTACATGGTCCAGGATGGCAGGGATCCAAACATTTATGGGTACAGCCTGCTGGTCTGTCTATCTGGCAACCAAGTTCACAGGACTCACACTCCACACCATGCTGAATATTAAGAGAATTCATGTATCAGGTTTTATAGGATATCATCAAATGATTTTGTAACTGAAAATATCGACCATCTCAATTGCAGAAAGCAATAACTGTAATTATAACTATTTTATGAGAATAACTTTATGTGAAATTCAAGAGTTGGGGGAAATATTGTAACACAGTGACTAAGTTTATCCTCACAATCTTTATTTCCCAGGGTGAAAATTTAACAGTATATTAAGGATACATACATCATATTTCCTCTATTGGAGTGAATCTTCAATGAAAGTCCACAGAAAACAAAACTTGCATTTTTTTGTATAATGGATCATTAAAATACAACATATTTTAACTGTAGATAAAATAAATGAACCATTTTTGTATACTTTTTTGAGAAATGTTCTGATTGTCAAACCAAACTTATACTTATTAAAAACTTCTAATCATCACCTTGAATTGACTACTAATTCTGACATACCAGCTTGGCTTTAAGAGAGCACACTGATTTTCACCCCCACAAATGTTTTTGTTACCGTTACAGCAATGCTTACCTGCTGTGCATCAGGTGCTCCAGTCACCACATGGCACTCTAGCTGACATACATGGTTAGTACAGGACAGTTGCCGACCACAAACGCGTCCACATGACAGCGGCCGAACTTCACAGCATGGGATAGTGAATTCCTACAAAGACATCTCAGTATTGTTACAGAACCAAACAAAAAAATATGACCACCAAACTGAGTTTATTAATTACCGGTATTTGATTTATATACATCCTTTACAATTAAGTTTATACATTATAAAATTATTATTATTTGAATTTTGTACTGAATCTGAGTTTTTATTTATTTAAAAATGTATTTGGATTGTTAAATCCTTGAAGGGTGGCAAGTCCTCGCACCAAGCATGCGCAAGATATATGGGTCCCATACATGTATAAACAAAGATGGCTACTTTGAAAGTTGCGTAGATAAACAAGTACAAACTGAGACGTTACCAAGCTTTAATTAGGTATTTTTTTTAGGTGATTGGAAGGTATTGAAGCAGTCAACAACAGTAAATAGTGAAAGTCGCACCAAGATCAAACCTCATACTTGTGATTTCTATTAGAAGAGCGCATTGGATTGTAGGAAAATCAAGGTTTATCAACACAAATGTCGCACATGCGCAGTGCGACGACCACTGCTCTTTAAACCTTTATATTTTCATCGCCTTTAGCATTGACAATCATCACTGTTACTCAAATAACTGCTATGCTTACCTGATGTTTTCCCATACACACTACCTGTACCAGGTGTCTACAAGGCCTACAAGGGAAATTCTTGACTGATAATTTTGCTTGAGCTTTAGGTTCCCAAGGACCACTACGTACTTGCTGTGAAATATCAAAATACATATTATTAATTTAGTAAATACAAAAGTTTATTTCAATACAGCTGCTGTCTTTCCCAATTTAAAGAACATCTATATGTATCGTTTTTGGAAATTGGAAACTTGTATATTCATTGACAATGTATGGTATTTTTGTATTGTTAGTAGGGAACCCTTTTGCATTGAATTTGCTCTCATGAGCTGAAACTAACTTTACTATAGTTAATTAACTCCTATATTTTACATCAAATATTCATACAAAAACCCTGAAAAACTTTTTCTGTGAAAGATCAGCAGCCATGTTCAGCACTAAGGCCAGACTTTTATTATCCCTTGTTTCGCGAACCCGCCGAATGAACAGGAGCCGAAAAATGAAATAAAAATAAAATTTTATTTCAGCGTAATTTCTCGCGTCCGCCGACTTGTAAGTGCAAAAAAATGCTAAAAAAATATTATTTTTATCTTTATTTTTATACCGCCCGCCGTATAACAAATCCAAGTTGCATTTGGGAGTATTATGATCAAAGAACCGAAGTCTCGCGCAAATGAGAAACAAGGTTATACATGGAATAAAATTTTATTTCATTTCTTCGCTCCGATCAATGCAATTCTAATGGAAAAAAAGAATTAATTTTATTTCTTTTCCACCCTCCTCAAAAAAATTGTCTTATAAAAACTCGAGAAACAAGGAATAAAAAAGTCTGGCCTAATATACAGCAAATGTGATCAAAATCCGTTATGAGATAATATGCAAATTAGCTACTTAATATGCACAAACATGGCCCCAAAACAAATCATGTCTGCACATGACACTAAAGTACCTATGTACTAAAAGTTTATCAAAATTCACTCAAAAGTTTTCAAGATTGCACTTAAGATGGTTGACATGGGAAAATTTATATGCAAATTAGCTACTTAATATGCAAAGACATGTGCTAAATTTGATAAAAACCCATTCGGAAGTTTTTGAGACTTTGCTTACACAGACAGACACAGAAGTTAAAAACTCATTTGCCATAACTGTCGATACCTACCTGTTCCACTTCTTTGACAAGTACAGCAGAGTGACAACTATCCTCACACAGATGCTGACAGTTTGGTAAAGCATTTCCACAGACCTGGAAACAAGGAGGACATCGGCCAAAATGACAGGGATGAGGGAGTCGCTGAGCATGGTGACAATCTGGAGGTACCCTATAGTAGGACAGTTGAAATGACAAGGATGAGGTCATTGCTGAGAATTGCACAAGTTAAATATTAAGTTAAAGGGAAAGTTAAGGCTAACAACATAATACAACATAATACTCCTCATAATACTCCTCGATAGAGCTCGGCAAATGTAAGAACATGCAATTTACAGTTTTTTTATATCACTTCTCATTTTCTAGATATTCAATTTTTCAACAATTTATGTAGACCGCCATCTTGCATCTTCAGCAAAGGATTATGTATAGTATGACATCATAGAGTCTGTTGTCAGAAATTGAGAAAATTGCATTCTTCTACATTTGTGGAGCTTTTTCTTGGGGGGGCATTGTGTTGTTTGGCTTGACTT